TGAATGAATGAATCAAATCAATTAAATTCCTAGTGATGGGTAATCAAGCATTAAATCTTTGAAATTTTTTCGATTAAAAATTCTTTATTAATTCTTATTTTTCAATGATGCGATTCTCTTTCCTTACACTGGCTGCTGATGATGATTATAATTAAGATTTTTGATGATTTCACCATTCATTTTATTGGCTGCTGAAATGGGAAATTTTACATCTGGTTCATGTTCTGGTTGTGTTTTTTTTTCTTGAATTAAAATCAAGTAAATTGACTAAGTTAATTTGACCGGATATCCAATGATGATTGTGTTTTTTTTTTTGACCACTGAAAAAAAAATTTCCGCTTTTTGATCATTTTTGTTTTTTCCTCGTAAGTAATCGATTCATTTTCGTATTCGAATCAAATTAATCGATTGATTGATTATTATTTTTCTAATTTGTGTAAATAAATAGAGTTTCTCCATGATCAATTATCCACATAACAAAAGCAATTTTCTCTCTCTATTCTGGATCAAATTTCTTTCTTTTTTGTTCATTCAACTTTTTCACTTTTAATTCTTTTCTGAACAAAAGATATCCTGTCCTATCTCATTCTTTCCATCTCTCTATGTATGAATTGTGTGTGTGTGTGTGTGTGTCTATTGGTGTGAAATGTTGTAATCCAATTACTATAATTGAATTGCTTGATTGTGTTTGATACTCGAGGCTGCCCTTACAAGCAGAATTTACAGTTTCCCCTTCTTTCGATGGTGATGCGTGTGTGTGTGTGTGTGTGTGTTCATTCACAAGATTACAACCTAAATAAATAGCCTGAATAAATTGATATATATTGGCAAATGGCCAAAAAAAAAGAAGAAAATCCCTGTCTCAAATTGAATGATTTTTGATGATAATGTTAATCGATTTTCAACAGCAACAACAACAAAAATGATCAGATGATGATCTGATTCCATTTTTTTTTACTTACTCAAATTAATTATTGTTTGTTTGAATAGCAAATCCAATGCCATAGAATTTAGTTGATGATGGTGATGATTCTTGATTTTTATGTACAACAACAATAATTAATTACAGATGTATGATAATAATAAAAAAAAAATTCTTGTCATCCATCCATCCATCCATCTAGTTAGTTAGTGGTGTATATGTTCATTAGAGATTCTTGTTGTCATTCTGCTTCTCTTCACTTCTTGTTTGATCAAATTGATGTATTTGATTCGAATAACCAAATGAATGAATTTTTCTTTGTGTGACAAGCGTTTATTTTTTTTTTCTTGGGGAGAAAGCAAAAAATTTGTCAAACATTCCAATTCTGTCTGTCTTTAATGTCTATTATTAGCATCATCAACAAATTATTATTGACTTGATTCGTTGTTTTTTATAATCACATTGTTTGTTTGTTGATTTTTCAATTTTATCGTTTATTCATTCGTTTTGTTTTGTTTTGTTTGTTTGTTTCATTAGCGTTTTTTTTTTTGGGCCATTTTGAATAATGATCCCTAATCGAATGCACGCATACACACTAAGTAACCAGAGAATCCACCAAATAATAATAATGATGATTTACAATTTAGCAAAAAGAAAATAATCTGAATAAATATACACATCAGATGATGATCAATTTTTTTTTCGTTGCTTTAGCCATCATCATCATCATCGATTGAATGAAAAATGATCGAAAATGAATGAATGAATCAATGCGTTTATGTGTGTGTAGAATTACTTGACGTGTTTAACTTGATTCAATAATAATGATAATGCTATGCTATGTTATCATTATGTTCCAGTCGATCATCATTGTGATGATGATAATGATGGTGGTGGTTGGGTGATTTTAGAGAGAGGGTGGACACAGACACACACACATATTAATAATATGGTGGCATATCATAGAAAAAAATTTGTCTCGAAAATTGAACCTAGTTAGTCAGTGTGTGTGTGTGTTTTTTTTTTTGTAACTTAATCGCGATACAATGACATCATCATCATCATCATCAATCGATTCCAATCGTCGTCGTTGTCGTTTATTGAAATAGAGAATCTAGGGTCTATTGTGGATTGTGTGTGTGTGTGTGTGTTGTGTGTGTTGGTCTTTGAAAATTGTCACACACAAACACAAACCAAAAAGAAACAAAAAACTTGCGAATATTGATGATGGGCTATGTACATAATTTGCAATTTTGAAGAAAAATCAAAGAATCAGTTTTTATTGTGTGAATACTACCACCATCATTTCAAAATATAAATTCATTTACCATGAAAATGATCGTGATGATGATGATGATGATGTATTCCGATTCCTTTTGCATTTTTTTCTTTTCTGATCACATCATTAGCTAACTTTCAAATATTGAATTGAATACAGGCCATTTATACGATAAGTTGTCATCAAATTTGGCAAATTTCGTTAAATTGTTTGTGAAATTTTTTTTTTTTTTTTGAAATCAATTGATTCAGCCTATAAATCTCACCACTACTAAAAGATTCAATTTGTAAGAAATTCCATTTCAAACGACAACAACAACAACAACAACTCAAGAATATAATCACCGCCCCAATAAGACTAAATGTACTAAACATAATATTTATTTGATTTGATTACCAAAAAAATTTTCTATTCAAATTCATCGTCGTCGTATATACATTTATGAATGAGAAATAAGAAACGATGCAACAACAACAACAACAACAACACACACACATATATATACCATGATGACATATTTGAAAGATAATGGCCATGTTTCATTTCATTCATTTTTCTTTGCTGTTGCTGATGTGTAATATTATACGATAACATAACAAGAACAAAATCTAAGTAGCCAAAAAAAAAAAAAAAATTGTAACGATTCAAAAGATTCAGAAAATAGCCCAGCTATTAAATATTATTATTCTTTGTAATGGATAATAATAATGTTTGGGTGAATATTTTTTTTTTTTTTTTTGGCCAGAAAAGAAAAGAAAACGAAGAGAATATTGTCAACTTTATCTCAATGATTGTTGATGGTGGTGATGATGATGATCAAATGCAAATTATTATTATCATCATCATCTTATATATCTCATTCTTGTTATTATTATATCATCATAATTCTCTTTCTCTTCATTCAGAATAAAGAATCCGATGACTAATAATAATAACGACATTGCTATTATTGGTTGACAGAATTTTCGATAGAATCAACTACACCATCACCACCCATTCTTCCCAGTGTTTTTTTTCTTCTATGAAAAAAAACAGTGTGTCAAGTTTTTTTTCCATTCATTCATTTTCCCTCCCCCCACCACCAAAAAAAAAAACATCAGACAAATTTTCCTCGTTGATTTTTCACGTTTCTGGATATGGTTATTAAGGAATTATTTGTCACACACACACACACACACACACACACATATATAGATATTTTATTCATTCATTCAACCGGAAAAAAAAATTTCCAATGACGACGATGACGGTCATCATCATTGAATTTCATGCTAAATAATTGCCATTTACTCTCGCGAATCCATCATCATCATCATCATTTTATTCATCCTAAATGCTTCTTGAATTTTCTCCGTCTCTATCTATCTCAATCACATCGTTTCAATCCCGATTATATAATAGTCAGCTTTCAAAAAAGCTGTTTTTCCGTGTGTGTGTATGTTGTTTGTATGTGATGTAATCAAATCTCAATCACTTAATAATACGGTCAGTTGAATATATACTATATTTACGCACACAGATATATATATATATATATATTAAATTATACATCTATTTACGTTCAATGGTCTATGATGATGATGATGATCATTTTATTAGAGTTCCAAAAAATGTTCCAAAGTCAAAATCTCTTTGGCTCCCTTTTTTTTCTGAAATTTGGTTATTTTTTTTTGCCGTTGAAGGATCACTTAATTCACTAGAATTTCTGCCATGTCTTTTTTGTTGTTGTTGTTGTTGTTGGCTATAAACGACAATGATTATTTTATAAATGTCATTGGTTCATTTTCTTTATTCTTTATTCTGTTGCTGTGAATTTCATTATACACACACTTGAATTGTGAATATATTCATTTTGACTTTTTGATCGTTATTATTATTGAGCAATAAATAGTTGAAATTGAAATTGAATTCAATTGCCCTTGAATAATAAAATGATGCGGAAAACATGATCAATTTCTGTTCAATTGAATTCGAACCAAATGCAAAAGTTAGAGAGAAAGATTTAAAATCAATTTCAACTCAATGATGATGATAGAATGAATCAATAGATCCAAAATCGAATGATTATTTACGGAAATCAAATCTAATTTTTTTTTCTTTGCAAAATGATTGATTTTTTTTTGTTATTTCGCATCATTTTTATTATTCAGATGAGAGAAAGGAATTTTTTTTTGCTTGTTGATTTGGTCAATTATAATTTTTTTTTGTTTTAGGTTGAAATAAGATTTATTAGATAACAAGAAAATAGGAAATAATGAGTGAAAAAAAAACAATGACAATGAATAATGAATTTTGAATTTGTCAAAATAAAAATATTGCCCAATTTTAGATTGAAATAGCCTGTGTTAAAAATGTTTCATTTGTTGTTGTATCATTACTAGTGGATGTTGATGTGGCTATAGTCGTCGTTGTTGTTGTCGTTATTGCTAATGATGATGATGATGATGATATGGCAATCGGTGATGATGATGATGATGACGATGATGACGTCGATGATGATAATGATGAAACAGGATGTTGTTGTTGATGATGATGATGATGAACATGATTAAATGATGCGGCTGCTGCTGCTGCAGCAATCAAATGATTTGTTACAGGTGATCTATCGGTCGTTTGATTATGATTACCATTGTTATTTCCATGATTATTATTATGATTAACAGCTACAAATGAATTGGCCAATTGTTGTGCATATAAAAATGCAGCCGATGATGATGATATTAATGGATTATTATGATGATGAGGATGATGTCCATGATGAGGATGTGGATGCGAATGATGATGATGATGATGACCAATTCCAAATGCTGCTGCTGCTGCAGCTGCAGCTGCTGATTGGTTATTAATCAATGTTGATGATGATTGGCTATTACCAAGATTTCCATTTGTATCGATTCCAATACCGATTGTTTCGATAATATTTCCACCTACACTACTACCGTTATTATTATTTCCACTTGGATTATTAGCATCCATACCAGGATTTTGTTTTTTCCATTTTGTACGACGATTTTGGAACCAAATTTTAACCTGATTATCATTTAGATTATTATCAAAGAGAAAAAAGAACAGAAAGATAGAAAATTTTATAAAAATTGAGAAAAATATCCATCACACACACGTGTATGACAGATGCTTTTTTTGGACGAAAAAAAGCAAAAAAAAAATTTAGCAAAATTTTTACAAGTGTGAAACGCGCACACCACAAGAAAACGTAATACGATACAAATGAGCCATGATGATGTTCTCTCATCTCAAATGACTAATTTACGATAATTATCGTCTTCTTCCTCCTCCTCTTCGGTTCGACCTCGACCCCCACTTTTGACCTTTATTTGAGTTGTTTGCGTGCGTGTGTGTGTGTGTGTGTGTGTGTGTTGACGAATTTTGCACACTTACTTGTGTTTCCGTTAACCTCAGCGATAATGCCAAATTCAAACGTTCACAAACAGATAAATAACGTGTATTTTTAAATTTATTTTCCAATGCCACTAATTGTTCATAAGTGAATGCTGTACGTGCACGACGTGGTTTACCACCTTTTCCACCAGTACCGCTTCTTTCTGTATTTCCTGTTCTTGATGTTGATGATTGATAATTTGATTTCTTTTTATTATTACTATTACCGGGATTTAAAATGGTTAAATTATTATTATGTTGTTGCTGCTGCTGCTGTTGACAATAGAAACTTGTTGCTGTTGTCGTTGTGGTTGTTTCACTATCGCTATTCAATATTATTGGTGATGATGAACCATCATTATCATCTTGATTATGATGATCATGATGATCATTTTCCATTTGTTCATCATCAATATCATCATCACCACTAATTATTGATGAATTTGAATTCATTTCAGCATCATTATTATTATTATCGGCTAATTTTGATTGATTATTCATTAGATTTAAATGTCGATGTTGTGGTGGTGGTGGTGGTGGTGGATAATGATGAGAATCAATATTTAAATCATTAAATACTAAAAAAGGTTTTTATTATTGATTATTATCGATTTTTTTCTCTCCAATCAATCAAATTTCGATTACTTACAATCATTATGGTGATTATGATGATGATTAAGAAAAGGCTTATAAAATGATAAATTTAAATCATTGAAATGATGATTCTGCTGCTGCTGCTGCTGCTGTTGATGATGATTATTCTTATTGTTCATTAACCATGGTTGCCATCGCAATAGATAATCTGCTGCGGCAGCAGCTGCAGCAGCGGCGGCAGCAGCCGCCGCTGTTGTATTTTGATTTGTTGTTGCAGTTGCCGTTATCGATGATGATGATGATGATGACGATGATAATGATGATGAAAAATCATTTAAACCTAATTGTTGACCCATAAATTTATATGGATTCAATATATCTTCAACCATAAATGATGTGCTTGTAGAATTTGTTGTTGTTGTCGCTGTCGTTGTTGTTGTTGTTGTTGCCATGTTTTTCACATTATTATTTTTCATTGATGATGATGGTGGTGATGATTTTTTTTTATTCATTTTCATCGATATAAATTCAATCATATTTTTTGTTGTTTTTGAACAATTATTCAGTTCATCATCATCATTATCATTATCAAAATTGTTATTATTGCAACCAATATTATTCATCATGATTGTTTTGTTCATTTTAGTCAATTGATCTGTATTTTTATTATTATCAATCATTTTTTTCCAAAACACGCACACACACACACACAAACACAAATGGGTTAATGAATTTGAATCAATCAAATCAACTTATTTACAGTTATTGTAGTTGTTCATGTGGTGGTGTCGGTGGTGAAATGATTTCCATCATCATGATCGTAGCATCCAAATCACAAACTATAATAATGATGATAATAATAAAACGACAATCAAATGATGTGTGTGTGTGTGTGCGCGCGAAATTTTTCTGTTTCATTTTTTTTTCAGCAACAAACAAAAAAAACTTTTGCAGTTCCAAAAGAAAATCCAGTCTGTATGTGTGTGTCTGATGTATTTAAATCATCATTACCAGAGTTATATATATAGTGAGTTGTGGCTTTTTTTCTGCTAAAAGGCATGACATACACACACACACACACACATCTATATTCAGAAAAAAAAACCACTTTGTGTCTATTGATGGTTGCTACATTTTATATATATATAAAAATAGCAAAATAGATAGATCGAAAAAGGAGGAGAAATATGTTGTGTTTAGTATAATGCCAAACAAAAATGGTTGGCTGATTTATAATAAAAAAAATTGGTTGTGTGTGTGTGTGTGTATATGTGTGTTGCTTGTTGGTTTGTTTTCTGCTGTCTGTTGTATGTTTCGCCCATTTTTTTTTCTTTTCTGGTTGGTTGGTTGGTTGGTTGATTGTTTGATTTTTTTTTTTGGTTTGTTGTTGTTGTTGTTCATAGGCCGGCATCCGGATTTGAACAAAGGTGAATGGATCAACTTTGATCGATTTATTATTCCAAATATCAATGAATGAATCGATAATTATTAGGTATAAATCAGAATCAGAATTTGAAAAAAAAATAATTTTCACAGTTTAAAATTCAAATTATCAACACAACATGTGGTGGTAAACATCTTGTGTTTTTTTTTTCATTCATTTATTCATCAAAATAGAAAATGAAAAAAAAAATTAATTTAGCGGAAAAACATTTTCATTCATTAGTCTGAATGAAATGATTATGATCCAATTATAAATGTCATCTTTTCTTCTTCTTTTTTTTTCGTGTAAATAATCACGGTGAACACCGAGATGGATAATGATGATGATGACGACGAAATAAGAATTCATTGTTCATGTTCATGTTCATCAATTTAAATTATTACAGTAGCTAAATTACAACGAGAAATGTTAAAAATGAAAAACGCACATTGAAAATCAGTATATATAAATCAGTCATTTGAATAATCATTTTCTTTTGATATTGAATTTGATTACAATGAGCCAATTTGGCAAACGAATGATGAAAATAAAAAAACGTCATTTATCCTTATTTGCCCCCATCCCCATCATTACACAGCAGAATGATAAATCAGATTTTTTTTTTTCATTCCTCATTCATTTACTGAACGATTCTTTAATTGAATCTGTTTTTTTTTGCTACCAAAAAAAAAAATAAAATTACAAGAATCATTCATTCATTCATTCATTGATGATGATGACAAATGTCAATTTTTTTCTTTTCTGTCCGAAATTCAAAAAAAATTTCTTTTTTATCCACAAAAACAGATTGACAAAATCGTTTCAAATGAAAAACAGAAACAATGCTTTCCATTCATTCCATTTGAAACCACAAATTCTGTAAAAAAAGAAACGAAAAATTCTGTTTTTGTAATTTGCCGACAACAACAACAACAACAAAAAAACGCTTTTCTTGTTTTTAAAAATATGATTTTTTTTATTTCACTACACAAATATTACAAAAATAGTGAATGATGTAATAATAATCACAAAACATAGACAATTGGCGGCAACAAACAATCGATGCTATCTATTCATATTAAAAAAAAAATCTTTGAACTTTTGGCGACATTTGCCAATGATGATGATGATGATGATGATGATGATGATGAATTTGGACACTAATTTGAATTATATGTGTGTATGTGTGTGGCCATGTGTCATATGACAAAATATTTTTGTTTTGGCCACGCTTGAACAATATTTTGTTGTCATCTTTTCATTGGCTTTTTTTTTTTGTCAATGGATTTTTCCATTTTTTTTTTTTTTAGTGAAACAAAAAGGCGATAATTAATGTAAATGAGAAATTTTCAAAGTTTTTTACTTAAACAAAAACCCATAGCCGGATGTATGCCCATTGCAAACAATTCCTGTACCAATAGCTTGAATGCATATGGTATACGTACTTTAGTCACATTGTCCGAAGAATTACAAAGCATACAGAATCTTGATGCAACTAAAAAATTACAATTATGACAAATTTCTACTTCATAAACATCCGTTGAGAACATAAAACGTTCTAATAATGAATTCGAAGTACCATGGCCAATAAGACAATCACGTTCCATTTCACCAACTCGTAGGCCACCATTACGTGAACGACCTTCCGTTGGTTGCCTAGTCAACGATATGGTTGGACCAATCGATCGTGAATGGACTTTATCCATGACCATATGTTTCAAACGTTGATAATAAATAGGACCAATATAAACTTCATTTGGTAATAATTCACCAGTTATGCCAGAACAAAGTAATTCTTTACCAGAAAACAGACGATGATGTTGATGCATAATATCAAAACAATCATCCATAGGTGTTCCATTAAAAACTGTCGCATCATGTATTGTTCCTTTCAACGAAGCTGCTTTTGATGCTGTCATTTCTTTCAATTTTCCTACAGTCATACGTGATGGAAAACCATGTGGATTCATTATTGTATCCGGACTAATGCCGCAACTTGTGAATGGCAAAATGGATTTATTGAATATGGCACCAATAACACCTTTTTGACCATGTCTTGAACTAAATTTATCGCCAACAATTGGTGCACGCATTTGACGATATAAAACTTTTATGACTAATTCATCATCATTATTAGAAATAGTAACCTTGTCGATAACGGAGCTATTTTCCGAACGATAAACAAGACCATTATCATAATATTTGGTTTGTTGTTGTTGTGCTAGCAGATTTTTATTATTCATTACATCAGGTGATTGTTTATTCACCAGTATATGTCCAGAATGTACAAAACTTTCCGGTGATGCTATACCATCCGAATCCAATGTCAGATATTTATTCTGTGTTCTAGTTAATTCATTCGTCGTACGAGGATAATACAGTGTATCACGACAACTACGATTTGGATAAGTTTTCAGATCAATTTTTGCATTTTTATACACAAAACAACGTGCATAACCTAATTGTATACTGGATTTATTCAATACGGTAGCATCTTCAAGATCATATGCACTATATGACATAACGGCAACGGTAGGATTCTGTCCGGCCGGAATCCAGCCAAACATTTTCATTGGTTTTGTTTGCACCAATGGATATTGTGGATGTTGTATAGTGTATAGCAATGAATCATTACGAAGATTTTGATTCAATGCAATCACACCCATTGCTTGTTTACCCATAGCACATTGATATGTATTACGTGGTGATTGATTACAATGTGGAAACGGAACAATTGATGCACAAATACCTAAAATGGTGAATACTTCAATTTCCATATGTGTTGTATGGCCAGCCACAATACCATCATCATTTAATGCAATAAAACAATCATTCAATTCATTCATATCCAGATATTCAATTATACCCAAATCAATAAGATCATTAAAATTCATGACATTACGTTCAATTAATTGACATAATTCCTGCGTAAGACGATGTTCACCATTTTCATTGACAATTATATATGGACGACATAATCTTCCTGCATCTGAACAAATATAAACAGATTGATGATAATTATTTGTGAATATTGTTGTAAATTTTGGTATCTGGCTTTGTCTTCGTTTTTGGCGCATAAATGTAGTGAATGGTTTTGGATCGGTAACATAACCAACAATAACACCATTTATGAATAGATAATAAAGATTCAAATCAATTTGATCTAGATCAACACAACCATATGCAAGAACGAAATTTGATTCAGAACAAATTTGTACAATATCGTCGTCCGAATCTTCAGTGGATATCTGACACATTAGTGCAATATTTTTCACTAGGCCACAACTTTCACCTTCAGGTGTATCGCTTGGACAAACAATACCCCAATATGATGATTGTAATGATCGTGGACCGGTTGTTTTACGTGTTTTTTCAAATTGTGAATTAATTCTGGTCAACATTCCCAGACTGGCCAAATGACTTAATCGTGACAATACTTGTGATACACCAATACGATTGATACGAAAACGTCGTATGGACCAATTACCGGTTGCGATTGCATTATTCAATGCATGTGTTATAAGATTACTGGTCATATGTTTTGTTACATCGAATTGACAAACTTTAACTTTTGGTATCATTTTATTTGCCGTACTCATTATCGTTAGATTATAACGTTTAAATGCATCTTCAAATAAAAAACCAATCAACGTTCCAGCCAATTCTAGACGTTTATTGCCATAAAAATCACGATTATCAATATGATTTTCTGGATCAATATGTGCCAACAAAAGTCTCCGTACCATGAATGCTAAATAGAAAAATTTCGGATAAAATGAATCATTCACAACGGGTATATGCGTCAATACTGAATTATAGATTATATCATATGCAATCATAGCTGGATGACGACTACTTTCTTTTGATAGGCTAATTTTTTTGCCAATAAATTCCAATGCATTGATTTCTGAATAAATTTTCGATTCAATACATTGTTCAAGCGATGGCAATAGCAGCTTAAACATTTCCATATTACGTTTACAATCACGAAGAATCAGGCTCGTAATTTCTCGATCACTAAGTCCGGACATTGCTTTCATCATGATGATAACAGGTACACCGTCTTTGAAAACACCGTGTTTGACCATTATCTACAAGGAGGAGATAAAATAATCAGTTTTTTTTGCAAAGAAAAACCAAAAACTTACCTGTCTTTTTTTATTCATCTGTAATGTAAGACGAGATTTTTTCTCCGTAGCAATACTTGTTACTTCGCAAATAACTTCATCATCATTTTTAAATGTAAAAATACGATTTTTTGATTGTTGTTCTTGCATCAAAATCACTTTTTCACTACCATTAATAATGAAATAACCGCCTGGATCTAGTGGACATTCTTGTAATTGGAAATATTCATCACGATTTTTTTGATTCAACACACAATTATTACTACGAAGCATTATTGGCATACGTCCAATCAATAGATTTTTTTGTGTTAAAACATCTTGACCATATGTATATTCAATATCAACATAGATTGGTGCCGAATATGTTAGATCACGTAATCGACATTCTTGCGGTGTCAATGAATGTTTATTGTGGCCATCACGTAATTCTGGCATGCCGACATGAATATTTAAATATTTCACATACCAATCTGGATCAACTTCGGATGTAATACGATCATTGGCGGCAACAATATCTTTCATACCTTTCTCAATGAAACTATTGTATGAATTGATATGATGTTCGGCAATATCATGAACTTTGAAATAATTTTCAACAATCTTCCATAGTTTACCCATTTTGTTGTGGAAATTTTTTAAACAAACAAGCAAACAAACGAATGAAAATCAAAAAAAAAAAAATCGAAATCGTAAAAACCGAACACGTGAGATACTATTTTAACAAAGACGAAACGTTTAGGTATAAATAGACATGGAATTTATTTATTTAAAAAAAATTAAAGTGAAAAACATTTAAAGTTTATTTTTTTGTTTCATTTCTAATTAAGTATCTTCTCCATCATCATCATCATCATCATCGTCATCATCATCACTAGAATCATCGGAATCATTTTCATTTTCAAACAATAATATATCCAATTGCAATTTTTTCTTTGGTTCCAAATTCGTATCATCTACGTTGGATTCTTCATCATCATCATCATCATCTTTTTTTTCGATATTATAACATTCATCCAAAGGATTTTTTGATTTCAATGCATCCATAAAATCCTTTATTCGAGGAAGAACTAGTATTTTGAAAAGGAAAAAATTTGAAATTGACAGAAATATCAAAGAGAATCATTCGAACAAACCATTTGATGTTAATTTTTCCGTTTTGAATGACGAGTCATTTCCAGTAGATTGTTTATCATCACCCCTTTTTTCGGCTGATTTAAAATTGAATAAATTCTCCGGTTTACTTTTATCCACGAAGAATTTATTTTCACATAAAATTAAATCTCTATTGCTCGATTGTTGTTGTTGTTTGGCCATGTTTGATGATCACGATGTTTTGCATGTTGTCACTTTATCTATGAATAAATCCATTTTGTTTTTTTTTTGTTTTTTGAATTTTTGAAAATTTTATTAATCCATATCATTAAGTAAAAATTTTAAAACTGAAAATAATAATTAATTGATTAAAAAAAATTCAATTCAATTGTTGATCACGTTCGATTCGTACAAATTTCAGCTGATCATTTGGTCCATAACGATAATCGAAAAATAATTCTTCAAATTTTTTAATTTTACGTTTAGCAAATATACCGATCCGATGTTCACCATTGACCATCATTACTTTAGCATAACAATTTGGATTGATTGAATGATTTGCGAAACGAATTTTGTTTCCTTTACGTTTTGCATCGATTACATAATCTATAGAGTTGTATGAATGAACAAAAACGTCAAGTTAATTTTTTTTTTTTTTTGTAAATAAAAAACAACAGAATACCATTATTGAGATTGAATAAAAAACTAGAGCCATTATTGTCATATATTTTGCCTCTTCTATCCGCTTCATCTTGTGAGATCATTTCACCACAATATTCAGATATGAAATCATTTTTTTCGGCAACATCATTTAAAAATATGCCCCAGCCAGCAATATCGGATACACCAAGAATTAATTTCTTTTTTAGGCCACGTTGAATAGCAATATTTTTACATCGAACATTTTGCAAGTCCGATTGATCTATTGGCAAGACAAATCATCATTATATCGATTGAAGAACCAAAAAAAATGAAAAAAAATTCCAAAACTTACCAGCTCCACATGTACCACAAATATCTGGATCACATTCACGTACAGCTGAATAGCATGGACATTGTTTTGTATTACATTGTGCTTTACATCGACAGCCAGGAAAACGTTCAGGACAATCTTTACTACAGGCACAATATTTTTCACAAATCAATTTATTACGTACACATGAACAGGATTGATCACATTTTGAATCCAAATGTTCACATGGTGTATAATTAATCAATATTTTCGATGATGAATCTTTCAGTTGTAATTTTTTACAATGTGCTGACCATTTATTTGGTTTCTTTTTTTTCTTTTTATTACGCATATCTTCATATGCATTATTGGTGTCATCGCTGTCAACATCATCTTTAATGTGTTCGGAATAGGCAAACACTTCGATACATGGTTTAGAAATCAATGTTGAAATATTACAAAAATTGTTATAATATGATTTCATGGCCACATTGAATAATGTGCGATCCAAATTGTTCCAGGAATCGAATTTTATTTTTTCCAAAATGGCTGATTTTATTCGTGGATCTTCATCACTAGAATCGGTTGATAGATTTTCCTTTACATAAATTCACATGTTTAAGTGTTGTTTTTTATTCAAACATTAATTATAAATTAGCCAAACTTACCATGTTTAAATAACATTCTTTACCGCATGGATTTTGTTTTTTATTACGGCCTTCATTTTTGCTACGAAATTTTACATTATAAAATGCTGTAAATAAAATGGGATAGGTTTTTTGTCAAAAGATTTTCGACATTTTTTTTTCATTCAACTTACTATGATCCGTACAATCATATGTATGACAACGGCGACAATATAGATTCGTATATGAATGCATTATTTTATCGAATGAATAAACTTTTCCTAGATCACCATCAATATTTGGTGGTGTTTCCATTGGATCGAGTTTTTTGATTTTATAATCATCATAACGTTGTTTTAAATTTTCAGCTGATCCTTTATCAGCAAAAACATTCGATATGATTTCAAATACATTTTCCGAACCATCTTTATCATCTTTATCATCATCATCATCATTAGCCACCAGAACCAATGGATTAAGTTTATCAATCAATTCCACAAGAATATCATCAGTAAAATTTTCTTTTTCACAATGAATTTTTCCATCATAATTTGTTAATAATTCTTCAATAAAATTATCTTCATTTTCATAAACATAATCACCAAGATATGGTATATGATGTAAAGTTGTTTCATCATCGATATGAACATTTTTCATTACTGGTGCCCAAACATGCCTTGATTAGGATTATTATTAATTATCACCAAAAAAAAAAGATGTATTTGGTACATTACATTAATGGTGTTTTTGGAACATCTTTGAGATAATATTTAGGTATAACAAATGATCGTGATGGCTCGAAACTATCGACGATTGTATGCTATCAACAAAAGTACATCATTTTGATGAATAAAAAAAATCAAGAAAATTATTTTTGATACCTCGATTCTTGGATGAACATCATCAAATTCGATAGGTGGTGGAATCTTTTCTCCATCCAGGCTTGATTTTTGAACAGCTTTAAACAATTTATTCTTCAATAATCGTTGCAGATTATTCTTTGCCAAATCCTAATTACAAATCAGATGCAGATTAATTTACGAAACCAAGAAGAAAAAAAAACTTACCTCAACCGTTTTGATATGATTATCATGTTTTTTTCTTAAAATTTCTTTATAAAGTTTTTCCACTTGATTTTTCCAATTTTGTAACGTGGTCATTTTTTTTCTATAATTTCGTTGGTTTTTTTTTGTTTCTTTAACAAAACAAAACAAAAACCAACGAACAATCAGAATTTGAAACACACAATGGATACTACTTTCAACATATAAACATGATTCAATTGAGTCGATGACCGCGCGTTTTGTCTGATCATAATTTCAACAACACAAGACAACACACAAAAACATTCCATCCAATTTCTAATGATTTTTATTGAAAAAAATGGATAATAAACAAGAAAATAATGAACAAATGAATGTTTATGGGATGTATATACAAAAATATTTTTGTGATTTACAACATTTACAACTACAACATGGACGTTTATGGCAATCATATCGTGAATTACAAATCAAATCATCAAAACAAACAGGTGGCCATCATTCCAATAATCCTCATCATCATCATAATGATACAAAAACCGATGATGAATTACGACAAGAATTGGAACAAGAAAAAATGATAAATAAATCATTAACTACTGAAATGGCACAAATTGTTGATAATATGAAAACACTTGAAACTAGACATAAAGAATTTTTGGCCATTTTTAATAAAGACAATAAACAAGGTTTGTTTTTCTAAATTCTCCTCATCGTGATGATAATTTTATGATTGTTTGTTTGTTTTTTTTTGTTGATAGATTCTCGTATTAAAGAATTGGAAAATGAAAACAAAGAATTACGAGAAACACTGGATTTTGTAACATCCGAAAATACTGTATTCAAAGATTTGGAAGAACGTGCTTTCAATGAAAAACGTGAATGGATAGAAGAGAAAAAAAAATTCGAAGAAGTAGTCGTTTGGTCCAAACATTTGAATGATAAATACAAGACAACATTGTAAGTGAAACGCAAACATGAATATTTTGATTGTTTGTTTTTTAAATCAATTTTTGTTTTCAGAGCACAAAATGAAAAATATGGCCAACAAATGGATAAATTTCTCAATTGTATTCATGATACATTCATCCAATGTTCCAATGATAATGATTTATCATTATTGATTGAAGATTTTCGAAAATGTTCAATCAATAATGAATCTTTCGATAAGAAATTGGAAATTGCCGAAAAATTTCTCAAATCATTGCCAAAACAACATAGTGATATTGTCAATAATAATGATAATAATAACAATAACAAATTAGATTCAAAATTGAAAATTTCCGACCAACAAAAAGAGAATATTCAATGTTTAAAAACTGAGATAGCTGAATTGAAAAATTTACTGATCAACAATGGTATGTCTTTGGAACAGATCAATTTAAAATTAGAAAATACTGAATTGTCCGAAAAATTGCGACTGAAAGAAGAAACATTGGAAAAATTGAAAGAAAAATTTGCTCGTAATCGTGCCGTATTGGAAGAGAATCATCGAAGATCATTGGATGAGATTAAAACATTGGATAATTTTATTGCCATCATTATTAACAAGCTAAATAAATTGCCTGAAGATTTGAAAAAACACAACGAATTAAAAGAATTGATTACAATTGTCAATGAAAATGATTCCGATCCTGATAATATTTAAATGAGACTAGTAGTAGTATGATGTTAACAGAATCCTCCACACTGATGTTAATTTGTTTTTCACTTTAATTAATTTTTGAAAATAAAAATTTTTTCAAATTTAAATTTTCTATTTTTACCCATTACCGTTCGCCAGGTTCAAATAGCCAAGTGCACGCGAGATTTTCTTTCCAAAAAAAATCTGATAGATGATAATAATCAATAATTGAAACAAATAAACATTAAATTTAAAAAAAAATGAAACGAAATAGCTCTGGATTATCGAAAAATTTACTCCAAATGAAATTCATGCAAAGGAGTAAAGAAAATTATGAGAATGCCGAGAAAGCTGAACAACAACGTCGTCATGAACAACAACAATCATCATCAAGACAACAAGAACTATTGGAATTATGTCAAAAAGAAGGTGATAAATTTCTGGCAACAAATAGTTTTATTTTTTGTGAAAATCTTGAATACGGTCGTATGTCATTTAAAGGTATGAATCCTGAAATTGAACAATTGATGCGTATAAAACATAGTCAACATGAAAATGATGATGGCAATGAATCGACCATGGAAACAAAAAAGACAGCCAAAGATGAAGCCGATGTATCCGATGATGAGATGACCAATGTTTTGACGAGAAGAAAAAAGAAAAGACATTCATCATGATTCAGCATCACCAGCGAACAAAATCTTGTAAATAGATCAAATACAAAAAAAAAATTAAAATTTTATTTCATTGAAATTAATATATGTGGCTCACCTCTTGATTATCAGACGATGAATGTAATCCAGTATTCGTATCATAGTTGGATAAATATTTACGATTCTCTTCGATAATATTATCGATATGTATCTTCAATTTTAAAGCTGCTTTATGCCATATAGTATCTTTTTCATTATAGAATGTACAATTATCGATAATTAAATTTAAATCATTTTCAAATTGATCAAACGATATATATTGATTTTCATCGACTTTTTTACGCATTGTACCCAAATCCATTGGATTTTTAATAAAATCACGATAATCAGGAACTTCTTCCACATTGACCGGTTCAATGAAGAATTGATTCATATCTTTTTCGACAACTTTATCCAACAGATGAATTAGAAACATTTTATATGGAATCAATTTATAAGTATAAAATGATCGTGTTTCACGTATAATTTTCCATTTGATTCGTTCACGTTTTCTTACCAATTCCAATAATAAACGTGAACGTTCTAAATCACGTCTTAGTTGTAATAATTTTTTATATTGATTTTTCATTTTTATATAATCACGTTTTGATGATTTTTCTTTATTCATATCGATTCTCATTGTAGAATTTGTATATTGTAATCGTCGTAATAATGACATTCCATTACGTGATTGTCGTTTCAATTTCCAATATGCATATAATCGTTGCATAAATTCATTTCTTCGTGGAAATGAAACCAATTCAGATATTTTCGATAAACGTTCATTCGGTATGGTTGGAATCGATATTATAGATGTGGACGTTCGTTTATCATTAATTATTTTACGAGAATTTTTTGATTTACTTTTTTTATTATTTTTGTTATTGATTGGTTCACTACGGCTATCTTCATCACCGCTTAGATAAAGACCATTGGAACAGCCATTCTTTGTAACTGGTGCATGATTAAGGCAATAGGCAAATTTTTTGATCGTGACAACAGCATTTCCTTGACGTGTTATTTCATTGACCGGAATGATTTTCATATAAAGACCGGCTTGTACCGCACAGGTAACATGAAAAGCAACATAACAATTACTTTTATAACATTGAATACAGGCACCAACATTTCTTTGATGACAAATTGAACAAAATAATTTCCAACGTGCCGCTGGTATAGCATTAATACTGTCAACTGGCTCAAGAAATACGTTATTAGCGAATCCAACTTCAGGAATCCAAAGTGCACATATAACATGTGCCCAACGATTATCATCGGTATGTTTGAATGCACCACCTTTATTCGGGCATAGAACACAATCAACAGCTGTCGATGGTGACCGAAGACAACGTCGACATAGCCATAAACCTTCCGGTATATATGGTACACCATAACATTCTTGATGGACAGCAATGTTACACATATCACAAAATAGTATAGCATTCGAATTATGACATTCACCATCAAAACATATTGAACAGACGGCATCCTCATCTATGGCTGAACTAATATCGGCACCACAATTTTGACTTTGAAAAAATGATTCCTTCTCAAATCGATCCATTATCAATTCAAATGTTTCAACATTTACATCGAGTAGACGATCTTCACGTCGTTTTTTATTGATCATTTCTAACCAAACTGCGTCCTCTTCATCCATATCATATTCGACTTTCATTTGGTCTTCTTCTTCGATAGAATCATCTAGAAATCGATAATAAGCAGCCAATGAATCAGATGGCTCTTTATAATCATTATCAGCTGAATTCAACAATCGATATGATGGTTCAGGTAGTTTTAGATTTGTTATCGTCGTCGTAGTTGTTGCTGTTGCCGAAGCTTTGCTTATTGATTTATTTTTCGATTTACGATTCTTGGGCTTTTTCTCATCAACTGCTGCCGAATTATTAGTATCAGCATTATCAACTTTAGGCATCGATATAAATCTCATTTTCATATTAGTTTCAGCTGGTATTGTTACCAATTGACATTTATATTTAAATTGAATCATTCGAATCCTTTTCTCATGGTCATTATTTTTCAAATCTCTTGTCGTCGTAGATCGTTTTTCATTCGTATTCATCGCTGCTGCTGTTGTTGGCATTATTCGTCGACCGGTCGATGAGAATGTTGGTGAAATTTCTGCATGATCAATATTATTCAGATGCATTTTGATGGCATCAATTTTTCGAAAACTTTTACCACAATTCTGAAATGGACAATAATATGGAGCTTTTGATGAACGTATACTTTCCAGATAAAGTGATATATTCGTCGATGGCATAATGATGATGAATCGTATCGTAAATAAAAAAAAATGGATGATAATCAATGAATGAATGAATGAATGTGAATGGATTTTTTATTCAGATCCAGATCGATCAACAATAAGTAAATTCCCATTTGTGTGTGTTTGTTGAGTTGATTGACACGGTATCAATATCGACTATCGATTCTATAGATGGCAGCAGCAGCAGCAGCAGAATCGAGTTATCATTATGTTATTTTATACGGCAGTTTAAGCTAGGATAGTCACAATAATGTATGTGGTCGGCTAATGTTTCAACTGTGTACATTCTTTGCATTATAATACATGCTTCTACTAGTGAACATAATTTTTCATTTTTCAATTGTGACTATATAATAATTTTTTTAACACTCTCGATTATCGACCACGGTAATGTCAGCTTTTTTACGATGAAAAAGCACATGCAAAAAAAAAAATGGCAATGCCGCTATCAATTCTGGTGATGATGTTGCATTGCGAGACTTTTTTCGATTTGTACTTCAAAAATAAATCAACGAACTTGCAATCTATGCTTTTGCTTTATTTTTTTTTTTTATATTAATGATCATATATCTGTAAAGATATATTTATTTGAAATTTAAAAACGAAAAGAAGATAAAAACAATTTATAATTATATGGTTAGTTTACCTTTAGGTGGTTGTAAATTTGTTTACAATAGTGTAATGAATTTGGTGTGTGTTTGTTCTGTGTGAATTGTTCTTGTGAAGATTATCATATGAATATCGAAATGATCACCTGGACACTAGATTGTCAAAAACATTGTAGCGTTGTTGCCGAAGTTTTGTTTATACTCGTCAACATTCTATTTAATCGGATTAATTTTTCTACTATATTTAAGTAGTATTCTATTTTACAATTCATATATATGATTTTGTCGTTGTATATTATATTACTACTGGACCAAAGTAATTTTTATAATACGCTTGGATTTACTGGCAGATAGCTGGTTATCAACAAGTGTCATGGTCAACCGGTTGGCAGTTGTATGGTCCACAAAATCATATAAAATTTCATGCCAAACAAGCACTCGATATCATTTTTGCTTGCTGGTCATTATTATTCACCACCATCATTATCATCCACATTTTATTAAATTTTGAATCAACCAAATTTCGCAGCCATAACTTAAATTTTCATAACTCATAATTTCTTAATTATTTCTATTTTTTTTTTTTCCATTTTTCAAAGATGACCAAGAAAAACCAAATCCATTGGTTGCGACGCCATTTACTGAATTTGTTCGCATCGATCGACGCAGGATACGATTTGCATTTCATCCGGGACTACAAAAAATATGTCGATAGACTTGTAAAATTTGTGGAGATGTATGGAACGTTTTACGCAACGGAACACGACGAGTTCAACGCCGTGCAAAAAAAGGTGGAAGCTTTGATAAACTCACCAGAAATTTCGTCACAGATCAAAGAATCGTTAAGATCCAAATTTGATCGTGCGAATGAACTTGCTGCGGATTTTTCAGAGGTAAATGCTTCAAGTTTTAATCATATGTCACTACTTATAATTTTTTTTACTTAGTCAAAATCAAGAAGAAAACTTGACGAGAATAATGACATTGTGAAATCATTACATGCCATCCAAAGAGGCGAAATCTCTTCGGCATATTGCTGCAGCAATGAATTTCGCGGTTACATGCCATTATATCGACATATCGTTGCTGATCATCCGAATTTATATGTCGACGACAGTATTCCTCAGAATGAATCATCCGATTTATCACAGATTCAAGGCACTTCCCGGAATTATCCGATGGTGGATCAATCAACACGCTCTCGGGACATTCAAATGTTGAATGAAATCGAACCACCTATTTCTTTGGAACACTCGTACGCTTCTTTGGATGAACAATCCATTCCTTTGGATGAACAATCAATTTCTTCGGATGAACAATCCATTCATTCGGATGATGATGATGATGAATCCGAAAATTACGACGATGTAGATATGATTTATCTCGACGAAGAAGAACCATTTGAAGAAGAATCATTTGAAGAAGAACAATTTGAAGGCGATCCAATCGAATTTTTGATTGAGGTGAAAAATTCTTTGTCAGACTCGGAATATTCCATCTTTGAATTTTGGGTGAAAACGATGATTAATGGCCGACTTTTTTTAAATTTGAGTAGAGCGCTCATTCGAAACACTTTTCCTGGCTTGATTAGATCTATCCCATCGGCTAGTAATAATCTCAAGGATTATATTGATCGGATGTCTAATTCATCATACTTGCAAGATAAATTTGCTATGATGAATCCCAACTGCATCCAACCTGAGGAATATGAATCCACCGAATGATCGACCATATGTCAATCTTGTTACTTCATCACAAAATTTGGATATGGCATCGTCATATTGTTTCTATTCAATATGATTCATTTTTGTTTCATTGTTATATATTGATCTTCATACTTATAATTTTGATAAATAAAAGTTTTTTGTTTATTGAGATTCGTTGATTTATTCATATCTTCATTTTATAATATCGAAAATTCGTCCGTTTTATCAATTTGTGGCTTTTAATTTGAATTTGTATTTTTATTTTATCTTATAATAATTTTTAAATTTCCGGATTTATTCCGGAAATCAATAAAACAATCGTTTAATGAAACAATCAAAAAAAAATCGGGATACTATCGGATAAGTCGTTCACCACCTGATTTTTGTTATAGCGTATAGAGTATGGTTCATTTCTATGCTTCCAACATTGTTACTTTGGCTGTACAAATTTTCTCCCATTTTTTTTGTAACTATTTTCTATGCTTCTTCACTCTTCAGTTTTGAGGGTGTTTCAATCATAATAAACACACTGAGCTCGGCTTGCTCACACACACACACACACATAATAACAGCGTGTTTTGATTTTTTCTGTTTTTTTTTTTTTGTTAATCAAATTTCGATTTACCTCAAATTCATTTTTTTCATTCCAATTTTCATTCTAATCAAGAGAAATTATTTTAATTTTAAAATTAAAAAAAAAATTAAAATTAAAAATATTCATTTTCCGACATTCATTTTATAATTTTTTTCCAATTGTTCCAACGAATAATCGTTGGAAAATTTGCTAAATTGAATTTGTTTGGTATAATTTTTTTTTGCGGCAGTGCTGCTCATTAAAAAAAAAACTTACCACAACGCCCTCCAGTATATTCGTTTGTAACTAAAGCACTCATTGTTTTTTTTCAAATTCAATTTACAAAAAAAATGCTCTACCTTGAAGATTATCTTGAAAGTATGTTTTGATTAATTTTTTTTTTGATATAAATAAATTTTTTTCTAATTACATACGAAAAAAAATCCATTATTATTAGTCATTGAAAATCTACCTCAAGAATTACGAGATAGATTTACCGAAATGAGAGAATTGGATCTTCTAGTCAACAGTAAGTGTTTGTATTTTTTTTTTTTTTTTTTCATAAAATAAATTTGTAAAAATATGATGATTTCCAGATGAAAAAGATAAACATGAAGAACGGCAACAACTTTTTTTCAGTCAACGTACTGCCGATTTACCGGAAGACATTCAGCGACAGGAATATTTGCAACTGAGACAGGTATGTTTTTTTTCTGTTTTAACACTATTATACTAATGTATATTTGTTTAGGATTTTGAAAAAATTATCGAATATTCATTTGAAAAATTTTCCATTGCCATCCAACTTGGTGAACTTATTGATAAATATTATCGACGATTAGAAATGGATCTACAAAAATTCAAACTTGAATTAGAAGCCGATAATGCCGGAATAACCGAAAGACTTGAGAAACGTAATTGAAATTTTTTTTTTGCTATTTATCATCGATAATAAATATTTAATGTTGTTGATTTTTCTAACAAAAAAAGGTATCTCTGAATCGGATAATGTCGTATCGACAAATTATAGCCGTGGAGAGAAACGTAAACATGCATCATTAATGACATTAAATACTGGATGTGGAAAATATAATAATAACAATGATAAAACCACGATGAATGATCAACGTTCATTGAATGGATATAATGTTGCAAAACAGAATAGAAATACAATGGCAAATGTGTCAACAACACAACAATCATCCTTTGATAATAATTGTCTTTCCAATTGGAATACGACAAAATCATCGGATAAATCGTCGGGTAATAATTTCAATACGAAAATAAATCTATCCGGACCTAGTGCCATTGCTGCAATTGCATCACAAGCTATTGTGCAAACATCACAATCCAATACTGTTGGAAGAAAAACTGCCAGCTTGAAAGCTAGCTATGAAGCAATCAATTCGAATACAGGATTATCCAATTTCTATCAATTCAATGCGAATCGTTCGAATGATGAAGAACGTAATGGTGGTGGTGGTGGTGGTATGGGTGATCAATCTGGACCAATAGATCGATTGAAAAGATCACGTATTAAACGAAATCGTACTAGTAATCAATTCAATAATAATAATTTAGATGCATCCAATAATAGCTCAGATCCTGGATCATCCGATGCAGCCAATGCTGATTACAACAATATGAATGAACCACGATATTGTTATTGTGATTCCGTTTCATATGGTGAAATGATTTTCTGTGAAAACAAAGAGGTAACATCCATTATTATCATTGATTATATGAATAAATCTTACATTTTTTTTTAATTTACAGTGTCCATATCAATGGTTCCATTATGAATGTGTTGGCATCAAAGTACCACCGGATGGTAGCTGGTTCTGTCCAACATGTTTAAAAGATGTTAAAGAACGATACAGAAAAGATACTATTGCCAATTGATTATATTATATTGATGTCCATTTCCATCATCATCATCATCATCATTTGACTTTTCATTTTTTTTCTCATAATTGATCCAAAAAAAAGTTAATCATTCAATTGTATGATGAGTGTATATGTCAACAAGAAAACATTCAGCCGCATATAGAGTTTGTTTGATTGATACATTTTTTCATTTCATTTTTTTTATTTGAAAATAAACAATGTATATGCTTTACCATAATGATCATAATTTTAATTAATAAAAAAAATCAATTTTGATTGTACATGTGACATTCATATAACATCATCATCATCATCATGGTTATTATGATTTTTGAATAAAAAAAATTAAACATTTGACAAATCACATTGAAAGTTGATAGAAAACGCCATCTTCATCTTCATCGTCATCATCGAAATTATTGTTTAATCCATCACTGGTTGTTGTATCATAATCGCTTGAACCATAGCCACTACGATAACTACCAGAATGGAATAAAGTATCATCAGAATCACTACAGGAATCTTCTTCATCCAAATCATTATCATTATCATCATCATCGTCGTCATCATCATCATCGCTATCTTCATCATCGCTAGCATCATCATCATCTTCATCTTCATCATCGGTTCTTTCTTCATCATCTTCATCACGTTTACGGCCAATTTCATATAATCTAATAACACTATCGGAAAAGTATGTTTCATTAATATTTTCAATTAATGCAATCATACGATCCTTTGAATCTATTGCCAATGAATTTATTGAACGTTTCACATCGATTGTAGCAATCGGTGAATAATCGTAACCATCGAATGTTCGAAATGATGATTGATGTGATATTTCATGAAAATGTTTATCTTCATCTTCATCATACAAAGCGAATATAACATCACCACGTTTACTAAATCGAACATGACTATCCGATAATGCCGTTACCGTTTTGAGTAATTTGAATGTTTTTATATCCCACTTTTTTTTAAACGAAACAAAACAAAATAATAAAACTAAGAGGATAAAACAAATAAATTTTCTATACTTACAATCTCTGAACTAGAGATAATTTCCTGTCCACTTGGATGAAATACACCATTGATTGAATCGTTGAATTTATCAAATTTATGTACAGGTGATTCTTTACGTACATCCCAGAGAACACCATCATTCAGTATAAGATAATCATCCGGATGAAATGTGCCAATATTTTGATTATATTTGTTGGAATAATTATCATCTTCAAATGTTCGTACCAATTGTGAACTATTCAAATCATATAACTATTGTTGTTGTTGTTAGAATATTGTTTCTTTCATATGAAAAATATCAAAACACTTACATGTGCTGCATAATGATGTGTTCCCAAAACTTTGTCCTGTGATGATTTACCAAACTCTACATGAGTATCATTAGGAAATGACATTCTGTATTCAAATCAATTGATCATCAAAATAATTAAGAATTCAATAATCAAAAAAAATTCACTTACTTTTCATCAAAATTATTTTCGTTAATCGACCATAGTATAGAGTTTTGTTGTTCCCATAAGGTAGTGGTTAATATTAATCTATTATCCTATTTTGAGGCAAAATATCAATTACATTATCCAATAAATCAAACCAAAAGAAACTTACCAGTGAAGGTTCGACATGAGTTATAGGTGTTTCATAACATCCGTAAGTATTCTCAATAGTACCATTATAATTGAACACATGTAAATCGCCATTGTCGTTTCCGGCATAAATCAAATCAGAATTGTGCTATGTATGTGTGTGTATATGGATATGGATAAATCATCATGATGAGTTCAGTTTCAAAAAAAACAGACAAATCTACTTACAGCGAAAGCACAATCTAAAAATACCGCTGGTTCTATACAACGAATATAACGACATGAACGAAAACGACTATAAATGTATTTACGATTCATTTTTGATCCATAACAACCACCATATGGTGGATAATATTGTCGACCAATCAAACGTGCAGCAATATTGAATGGAGCAACATTACGTTCACGTGGTTCAGGACAACGATGTGGTTTGAACAGATCAAATGGTGGACATGTCAACACTGGATTCTTACATAATGCATGTTGTTTACGAAGATATTCGATGACAATTGAATCTAATGATATTGTATTTGATTGTTGTGATAATGACTGTTGTTGTTGTTGAGGTTGTGTTTGCTGTAATTGTGGTTGAATGGTCATTTTTTCCTTTTTAATTGGCGAATTTAGAGAATTTCGTCGATGAACAACTTGATTACTGTTGTTTAATCGATTTCTATTCGTACGATTAATTCTAATTGGTATACCGGTATTGGTTGATGTTTCAAGTATATCATCTGAAGACTGTTTTATAGAAGTTGGTGATGAATTCATTGTCGATGCTGATGTTGATGTAACTGCCGATATTTGTCGTGACTAGAAAACAGAAAAAAATGATCATCAGATGGAATAAATTTAAAAAAAATCAAACAAACCACTCTAGGTGTAAATGTTTTTGTTGGTGTCAAAAATTTCAATGTATTTTTTATTTGATTATTGATGGCCGAATCGGATAAATCTGCTTCATTAGACAATATTTGTGCCGTTTTACTTAAACCTTTGGCAATCAAGTGATTATGAATCAATTTCAAAAGCTCTTTTTCATTGTAAACAATTCTTGTTTGGGTAATCACTTCGGCTTTATTAAGATTTCCAATGGATGTTTCCAATGTATTCGTAACCGGTGTACCAGTGATTCTTTCAATCAATTCAATACAAAATTTGCAAAATTTTAAATGTTCAGCACGTTTGTCTTGTAGAATTGGTTCTTTCATTAAGGCTGAAATTGTAATAAAAAACAATTAAGGATGATAAAAAATTTTTTTGTTAATTTCCAAAACAACATACTTTGAATCTGTCCATTAGTGAACAATGGTAATTTACAAATGACTTGACGTACATTTTCGCTTCGTGCTAATCCACACAATGCTTTACAACTCAATTTACGAATCGAATCAGCATCGGTGATCGGTGTTTTTGTCATAAGTAATGTAATCAACAACATGATACCATTATTGAAACGAACACAATTCCAAAGTTTATTAAGAACATCTTCACCATAACGTATTAATTTTTTCTTGCTTGCATTACCCATTGATGTTTTCGACATGGTCAAATCTGTCATCATACGACTCATAGGACCACAAACACAATTAATAATTATATTCAATGCTGAACGTTGACATTCTGGATCATTGATAAGTTCACCGGAAGCTGCCGATAAAATTATTCTCATACTAACAATAGGATGATCATCATCGAATGGAATTGATTCGGTAAGATTCAATTGAAATTTAGGCATCACCGTACATACGACAAGAACATCGAGAGCACTACGAACAGCATCAGATCTATTCAATAAACAAAACAATTAGAATTGTAATTAATCAATAAAAAAAAGACTTACTTTCCAGTAAAATTACAATCATACGACATACTAATGTATTGCATCAATAATTTAGCACCACCGTATTTGATCAATTTATCCACCGGTTCCCATTGACAACGTAATGATATTAGATGTAACATGGCATCAACATATTCCATGATTAAATCATAATCATAATTGATTGGTTTTTTTGCCGGAAAATTTATATTCATTAATCGTGAATAATTCTGATAATTTTCATTGTTGATATTTTGTTTGAAACATGTTTGTATCAATGATTGTGCTTTTAGTATTAAATGTGTTTCAAAATAACGTTTCAAGGCCACACAAATATGTTTGGCATATTGACGTTTAGTGAATATTTCTTCATCAGAATATGTAATATCTTTCGAGAATAGATCAATCATTGAAATCTAGAATAAAAAAAAAATTATTTAGGAAAAACAATAACATATACACACACAATACATACTTCATTGATAATTTTTCGTAAACCATCTTGTTTATCAAAAAGTTCAACAATTTCTTGATACGAGAATGCTAAACTTAGAAAAACCATCGAATTTGTACGACTTGAATCATGTGATCTTTCAATCAGATATAATGAATAGGAAACAAGTTCATAACGGATCTCATATGGCAGTGAACAGATCTAAAAAAAATTTTTTAAAAAGGAAAATGAAATTTCAATTTTAATTTCATAAACAAATTTACCTTTTCCATAACATCATCATGATATCCAATGTTACTAAGACAGATGGAAACACCACAAGCAGCTAATGATTGTTTATAAACTTTCAACAGAGCTTGAATACCATCATTATTGACAAATTCAAGGGCAAATTTTTTATGACATATTAATGATGATAAATACTGGAAAACAAAATAGGAAATTAGTGGCAAAATTCTTTCGTAAAAAAAATGCATTACCTTTAATGATTCGAAAGCAAGCCGTACATCTGGATTTGTATCAAGATCAATATTTTCCAATATCAATGAAAGTGCATTATGTTCGTAAACATTGCTCAAAAATTCTTGATAACAACCAATGGAAGAAAGATATTGAAAAATGAAACGTTGACTTATTTCATTAGTTAATGGATATACTTTTGATGAACCAATCACATAGGTTTCCATTTCAGCCCAACTACTATTGGAACAATCATTTAATGGACTTGAAATTCGACGTCTTTTGGTGGCTGGTTCAAGATGATTATGATGATGATTTGGCGATAAAAGACGACAATCATTACTAATTGTGTTGACATTTTCATTAGATTTCTTTCTTTCTTCCATCAATGTTTTAAGTTTTTTCAACATTATTGGAATCAATTCTGCATTTTCTGATTTACAATATACACCGATATCTGCTTGTTCAATGGCTGCAGCCAAAAGACCTGTAGCATAAGATTGCAATGGTTCATCTTCATCTCGTGCCCATATGAAAAGTCGATCAATTAATCCAGTCTATAAAAAAAATGATGATAAAACATTTTTTTCTATCTTCAAATTATAAACAAAATACACATACAGAATCCATGTTGAAAACAACTGATGTCTCAAGACCGGGTAGAATATCGATGGTTAACCGGCAAGCAACAATTTGTAAATCACGATTATCTCGATTCAACAAATATGAAGTGACAAGCTGAAATGAAATTTGTTTTAAAACAAAAACCATGAAAAAAATGAATCTTACTTTATCCATAAAATTATCATTTTTAAATAGATATTTCAATAATGGTCCCAAACTACATGTTGGTTTCGTACGACTTGGATGTCTATCATCCAATGGATCGGGATCCATTTTAAGATAGATTTCTGTTTCTTTTTCCAATAATTCGCATATTCTACATATGAAAAAACAATTAAAATTCACAATTTTTAAATCCAAAACATTTATTTACTTGGACAATTGTTCAATGACATTGTCGATTGAATCATCTTGAGCCCATTGTTCAAGATATTGCGTCATAGTTTCGGTGGTTTCCAACATTTTTCTTTCTATTTTTACTACACTATTTATATATGAAAGATGATATAAGATTTGGTGAATTGTTGTTTATGAAAAAAAGTTTCTGTTTAATTAAACAAATGAAATCAAGCGTGAAATTTAGTTGAACATTTTTGTATATTTTGTTAAAATTTCAATAAACTAACGAAAAATTACAGAGAATTGCAAACGAATTGTGGATCTATTGTGGACACATGGAAATTGTTCGAGAAAATTTTTTTTTTCTCTCAAAGCCATTCATGAAAACTATGCCACTGAAAACGTCATTTATGAACATGTTGATTTGGAGCGCGCCAAAAAAAAAAAAAAAAAAATTTCGTGAATGTAAACAAATCTGATCACGGGCCAAAGAAAAAAAAATGTCGAAAATTTTCATTTTACCAAAAACATCAATTGAATTGAATCGTATACGATTAAAACATCCGAAAAATCATCAAATAGAATGTGATTATTATTGTGATAATGAACAATTTTATGAGCTTAATATGAGAAAAAATTCTTATCATTCATGGTTTATGAATGATTGTCTAATTCAAGATGGAAACGTTTATATTATCACACCGATTGATCCTTTATTCTTGATGATTCCAATCATTGGATCAATGGACAAACAACAATCATCCAACAATTATTGTTCATTAATGGACATTATGGCCGATCAAAATTTAGATTCGACATCAATTGATTTGATTAATAAAATTTTTAATGATAAACTATTGAAATGTATAGCCGATGTAAAATCATTCGAATCTGAACTTTTCATACGATTTAACCGAGAAAGGACAATGAAATGGTTGTGTTTGAAATTTGAACAAATTAAAAAATCATTAGCCAAACATGGTTTCAAATCGAACACTACAGGAGGATTTACAATCAACAATTATGTGGCCGCTAGTAATTTGGTGTCAACCGACATCATTGATCAATGTAAGTGATTTTTTGCCACTTGAATATTAGTGTTTTTTGTTTGAATTTTTTCAATCGTTTTCAATGCATTCGAATTTCCACTCCAACTACGTCTTGCTACACCGTTTGTTACATCCCAAAACAAAATGTTGGCCGCTTTTTCTTCGGTCTCTGATCGGCCATCCAATACTAAACCAAAACCACAATTTTGTGCTTCACCAAAACCAACTCCTCCACCGTTATGTAAAGCAATCCATGTTGCACCACGTGTTGCATTACCCATGGCTGTCAATATGGCCATATCAGCTGTATATGCTGATCCATCATAAATGTTCGATGTTTCTCGATATGGACTATCTGCTCCACTAACATCATGATGATCACGTGAAATGACAATAGGCCGTGTAATTTTTCCATCACGAATTGCTTGATTAAATGCTCGAGCAATCGCTACTCTACCATCATGATTCGAATACAAAATTCGTGCCTGTGATCCTACCACCAATTGATGTTTATCAGCATTTTCAATCCATTTAATATTATCTTGATAATGTCTTTTCGATTCTTTGTCCAGATCAGGATCCATTGATAATTTTGTCATTATATCCAATGCAATACGGTCGCTAATTTGAAGATCTTTAGCGTCACCTGAAGTACAAATCCAACGAAATGGACCGAAACCTAGTGAAAAACATCACCCATAATATCCTGGACATATGATGGATATTTGAATTTAATTCCATATGATGTTTCGGTTGGATTTAAATCAGCACCTGCTCTATATGCTTCCAATAGAAATGCATTACCATAATCCCAGAAATACATTCCTTGTTCAGCCAAATAATTGATAGCAGCCACTTGACGTACAAGACTTTTCTGGCATAATTTACGGAATTCTTCGGAATCATTTTCAAGCATTTGTTTCGCCTGTTCATATCCAATACCAGCTGGATAATATCCTCCGGTAAATGGACAATGACATGATGTTTGATCTGAACCTAATTCAATCAATAATTTTCCCGTTTTTCGATGATAATCAGCAAATTTTTCCCATAAATCAACAACATTTCCATGATAACCAATACTGACAATTTCATTGTCGTTTCTTGCTTTTTCAATTCGTTTGATCAAATTATTCAAATCGTTTTCCACTTCCATTAGCCATCCTTGTCTTTTACGTTTCATTAATGCTTCCAATGAAACTTCGGCAATAACACTAATACATCCAGCAATAACACCGGCTTTTGGTTGTGCACCACTCATTCCACCTAAACCAGATGATACAAATACTTTTCCCGAAAGTTGATCCGTGCCCAATTGATTACGTGCTGCATTCAAAATTGTAATCGTTGTACCATGAACAATACCTTGTGGTCCAATATAACAAAAACTTCCAGCTGTCATTTGTCCATACATAGTGACACCAAGAGCAAAATAACGATTATAAAGTTCTTTACTAGAATAATTAGCCACCATATTTCCATTGGAAATAAGTAATCGTGCACTTGATGATAAACTGGGAAACACGCCCAATGGATGGCCAGAACTTAGTACCATGGTTTGATTACATTCCAAACTGCTTAGAAATTTCATTGTCAACCAAAACTGGGCCCTGAATTTTAAAGAAACAAGATTAATTTGAATTTCTTTTAATCAAAACAAAAACGACATACCAATTGGAAAAAACTTGACCATTGCCACCATAACAGACCAATTCCTGTGGAAATTGGGCCACATCATTATCTAGATTATTCATAATCATCAACATTATAGCAGCTGCTTCTTGGCATTTAGCCGGATATAAATCAATTGGATATGCTCGGATCGGGAATTTTGGAATGAATCGATACATATAAATATGTCCATATTGATCCAATTCATTTCGGAATTCAACGGAAAGCAATGAATGTAAATGACATGGAAAATATCTTAATGCATTATCAATGGCCAATTGTTTATCATGATAATTATTTAGATTATGTAAACGATTTGGTGCATGTACAATATTCACATTACGTTTACCATCATATTCAGGCAATGGATCAATCGGTATTCCATGGCGAAGACATTCAAGTGAAAATTGATCCATTTGGATTTTTTTTTTTTGCGTCCAGTGATTGAGTGAATGAATGAATGAATGAACGATTTTGAAGATTCGACATTGAAGGTTTTTTTATGGAGAAAAAATCAGCATCTGTTAAACTTGTTTTTTATTTTTTGTTTTGCTGATAACGTTATCAATTGAATTTTTTTTTTACTTTTCTGTTTTTTTCCATTCATTTTTACATTCACAGCTCAATACAATTCGATGGCTTTGCAGATTTTATCGGATTACATTGGCGATGATTATGAACGTGAATTACGTACTATACTTGGGTAATAATTATTTTACATGATGATATCATGTTCGGCTGATTTGTTGCATTCATTTTTCATTCGTTTAGAATCCCCGACATTAAACATCAGCAACAGCAGCAGCAACAACAACAACAAGACGAAGATATCAAGGACGAAAATAATGATAAAAAGGTTTGGTGTTTTTGTTTGTTTTAGAGAGAAAAAAATTTTTATTTTTTTAAATTTTTTAAATTCCAAAAAATAAGCGAAAACTTGATTCATCACCGGCAAAGAAAAAATCGAAACAACATGAGCAACGAAAAATGAATGATAAAAACAAGGTAATAATTGCAAATGTGGTTGCTGTAAATTGTTTTAAAGAAAATTTTTTTTTCTTTTCTTCATTTATCACACACGCACGTTCATATATTAAATCGTCATCATTGGAAAAGAAACCAAAATTAACACATACACAACGAATGTTGAATAAAGTGGACAAATCTGGTATCAAAGATATTTCAAGCTATTTCAAGAAACATTGTTGAAACAATTATTGTACCAATGTTGTTGATTGACCATTATGAAAATTGATGTAAATTTTTGGTTCAATCAAATAATTAACATGTAGTTGTTTAAGATTTTTCAATTGATTCAATAAATCATAATGCATATTGACATCAGTATCGGGACAATGTGCCAGTACAAACGATAATATCCGTAATCGTTGATCAATGGTCAATAATGATTCAAATTCCAATTCTTTATTCATCAGGCAACAAATTTGATAACATAATTTCCAACCAGATTTTCCATGTCCAAGATTACGATCCATAATTTGTATTGATAAATCATTTGCTGTTTTATAATCACCATTTTCAATTGCCTTTTCACCGATTATGTTCAATAATCGAGCTTCTTGTTCCTCGTCATCATTATCATCGTTATCGGATGATTTGAACAAATTGAGAAGATGAATAATTTTTAAAATTTCATCAATTTTTGTATGTGCATTTCGAGCAGATGATAAAATCATTTCCAATAAATCTTGTTGGCCAATATTTTTGATTCGTATGGGTAGCCATTCTTTACCGGGAAATTCTTGATTCAACAATTGTAATGCTTGAATAAAATTCAATTCATCATTTGTATCAAAATCATTTGGATCAATGGTGTGAATGAAATCCAAACACATTCGAGCATATTTGATCATCACATCATCGGGTTGTGAACCAGCATATTTCAGATAATCTTTAGCAACCTGTCGTAGAATTTGAATTCCTTTTTCTGTATTTAATTTTTTACTCCTGTTTCCACGGATGGATTCCATCATATCGATATGATTGAATGCCATTTGAATGAAATATTCATTATTTGACCACAATAAACAACGGACAGTGGTTTCAATCAATTCTTCATCACTAATAGATGTGAGATATTTTTTAATTAAATCTTTAAGATTCAAAAAAAATTGTTTCCATTCCAATGAATCGATAGTGGTTCGTTGTTTACAAAAATTATTCAACACTTTTTTCACAAACGATAATTGTTTTTCCGTCGTCGTGGTCGTTGTAGCCGAAATTTGAATCAATTCTTTAACCGTAATGGGTGTATTATTTTCACATAAAAATTCCACCATTGATAAATGAAAAGCAATTTCATCGGCTTCATCATTGATTCGATTGAATCGATCTAACCATTGATCATCATCATCATCATTATTTTGTTCAACATTCAACAAGTGTGCTTGATCACGTTCCGGCAGGCATTCCATTAATTTGAATGCCAAATCAAGATCACTAACACGATCATATGATCGAATACATTCTAATGCCAATTCAATAAGATCACATGGATCATCAATAATTTTCAAATGACGTATTTCTTCTGTGGTTCGATTGACTATGGTATAGATTTCAAAAATTTTCAAACATTGTCCAAAATCCATCCGGGAAATGTTGAGAAAAAAATTCCGAAGTAATTCTTTTCTACTCACATTCACCAATTGTTTACGTTGACAATAGACGGTGATTTTTTCGAAAAATTTTTCAAATAAATTTCTAATGAATAGAATATTGTCATTTTTCTCGCCATTGAATAATAAATTCATTTTTTCATCGATGGATAAATTACGAAATTTTTCAAACGTTATTGTCAGGGTGAAATTCTCGTAAACAAACAATGAATAAAGATCAAGTTCAGAATATAAATCTTCCAATCGTGAAAGTTGACCATCGATACCAATACGTAACAGTTCTAATGAATAATCAATCAACATGGTAAGATCGAGGATAATCTGGGCACGATATTCAAACCATTCGGTTAGATATTTTTCATCAACAGGTTTATCACTTTTAAATTTTAATTGATCACTATTATTTGCATAGAATTTATTTTCATAATCATCATCATCGTCGATGTTTGTGATGGATAAAAAATCATCATCTGTAGCATTGGATAATGTTGAAATAGCCAATTCAATCAGATCTTTATAATTTGATGGTGGTAATGTTTCTGGTAGATTTGAAAGAATGACAAAAAAATGTGATGCCAATTTTCGGTGTTCATGAGCAAATAATACAGACAATGTTTCAATATCAGCTTGATGTGCATGTTCGATTGCCAATTGAAATGGATTTTTTTGGCGAAATTGGCGAAAAAATTCTTGATCAAAATTATCAACGAAATCATCGTTATCGTTACCAAATTTTGATTTCAATATTTTTTCATATAAATCTAATCGATTTAAATGAATCGATAATTTGGTTCGTATTTCATTGAAAACATTCGAATCTTCAGATTGTTGTTGTCGTTGTTGTTGTTGATGGTGGGCAATTAAATTGATACCAAATTGTAATAGATACCGTTGTACTGGCAATTGTCTCGGTATACAATCAATACATTGATTTATGATCCACATTTGATCATTAATTTTAGCTAGACATTCATCAATCAAATGAATACTTTTCTCATTATGTTGCCACATATTTTTATAGATTAAATCAATTTCGAGATCAAATTTTTTTGCCAATCTCATTGCTGTTTCATATTGTTTTGATTTAATCATACGAATATAAGTATCCTCAACGGTTTCATTTGCATTGATTAATCGGCTATCGTCGAAATTTTCCATCAATCCATCAATAATTGCTTTTGGTGGCCGTATTGGATCAATAAAACGTCCATCATTATCACGACGAATGAATGGTAATTTTAATAGATGAATAAAATAACTAATGTAAAACATGAAGGCAAAATAAATCTGACCAAACGCGTGGGAAAAAATATTGGTCGATCTTGTTGGATCCATTTTTTTTTCTTGGACAAATGAATTATCACAAAATTCAACCGAGATTGACACGAGTATATTTAAAAAAAAGAAACAAAAACACATTACTATTTACACCCATATGGACCCACAAATGATAAAATTGTCTGTAAAAATTTTTTTAATTAAAACTCAATAGATGGCAGTAGTTGAACGGTAATAAAAATCATCATCAATTTTCAATTGTTCTATCATCATCATTATCATCATCATCGATGATGATTATGATGGAAGAAAAAGAAAAAGACGAACAAAAGAAATGAAACGAAAAAAAAACAAAATAATTTTTCTCATTCAAAATACAAAAAAAAAAATGATCTTGAACATGTCTCCATTTCCGTTTATCATTTGTAAAAATTATGATTATTACCATTATATAATTGTTTTGCCGATGATGATGATGATGATTATGGCATTCAAATATGTAAATGAATGAAGAAAAAAAATGGCGGAAATTTTAAATTGAAATTTCATCATTTTTTTGTTTCCTTTTTCGTGATTTTACACCCAATTATTCTTTTGTTCAGGGGCCCAAAAAGCCAAAAAAAAAATGGATGGAAAACAAATGAAAATCAATTTTTTTCTTCTTTTTCTTTCCATTGTCTCATTCTCATTGTACCACAATGAGAATGTCTATTGATCAATTTTTGGATGTTATTAAGTGGCAAATGATAATGTGATAATTATTTCTCATTTATTCCGTTTTTGATGATGATGATGATGAGAAGAAGAAAAAAAAATTGAAATTTTCATTTCAATTTTTTTTCTGTTCATCCGCTTGTGAATTTCACTTGGACTTGATGTTATGTGGACGAAAAGAAAAAAATTGGCCATTTATCAATAATCAATCATTGAATGTGATGACAGGCTATACACACAGTCAACCAGGCAATCAGCTGTTATCTAAGATTTTTTTTTTTAGTTTTATTTCGTTTCTGGTTGTCTTCTCGCTGCAATTCAAATCGATCTAATTTTCATTCGCCGTTGTTGTTGTTCGGTTTGATAATGAAAATTGTGGAAATGATGATGATGATGATGAGGAACAAAAAAAAAATTAATAAATCACCTGCATGGATATGAAATGAAAAAAAAAAGCAACAGCAACAGCAACACATCATGTGGGAAAATGAACATACGGAATTGAGGAATTTCATCGTCGTCGTCGTCGTCGTCGTCATCGTCTTATCAAAATCAATTGAATTTGTTTGTTTGTAGGCAATAATGAGTGCGAAAAAAAAAATGGAAGAGAAAAATTTTTGTCTGATTGATTTTTTGATTCATCACAATCATCATCAAATCAGCAATGGAATTCAGAACAATAATGAGACACATCAAAAACAAAACAAAACAGAAAAAAAAAAAAAAAAAAATTTCATCGAGTTCAAATCAAGTTGGATTTTTTTTCGTTTCGTTTCGTTTTGTTTTGTTTTGTTTTCCAGCTATGGAATTTAAATTAATGAAAAAAAAAAATGAAATGAAAATTTCATTTCATATCAATATAAAACAATAACCGAAGATTTGTTGAATAAACGAACGACATCAGCAATCAAAATTTCAGCTTTCAGCTGATGATGGTGATGATGAGGATGCTTGTCAGAAAATTCAACTTTTTTTTATGAGAAAATTTATTGATGAATGATGATGATGATGTGTGTGTGTGTGCCATTCATTTTGGTTGAAAGTTTTTGATTTGATTTAGTTTTTTTTTTTTTTTTGATTACAAAATGTTACAAAAACATTTTTTTTCTGTTCTGTTCGATTTGGAAATTATGTAATTCAATACAATATACAATACGACAACAGTAAATGGACACACACACACAAGCGAGACAGATAACCATCAGTTGACCAAAAAAAAAAAGTATAGATCCAAAGGGTCAAATTTCTTATATGACCAGAGAGAATGAGAGAGACTATCGTCGCCCCGGTGATTATAATCGATCATGATTACAACAAATTACAATAACAACAACAACAACAAAATTTTCATCCGCTAATTGACTTGCTATCTCTCGTTGTTGTCGTCGTCGTCGTCGTAGTAGACAATCAATTAGACACATTCTAAATTTCAAGTTCATTCATCTATACTTATTGCTGATTCTGGTGGTGGTTTGTTTTTTCTGTTTGTTGGTACAAAAAAAAAAAAAAATTTCATTTTGGCAAATATTCAAAAATTTACATCATTTTTTTTTTCTGTTTATTCATTCATTCGTTTGTCACATTATCATCATCTATCTATCTACTAATCAATTTGTCTGTTTGTTTGTTTGTTTGGCTGTTGAACGAACAAATTTTTCTTGTATTTGTTCCAAATTTTTTTTTTTTTGAAGCTACCAATTTTATAATTAGTTTTTTTCTTCACTCACTCAACTAACAACTAACAACTTGCACTTGGATAAAAATTTGCTTTCAACACACACACTATGAAGCTATTAGACATATGGTTATTGGCTCCGAGACAACAACAACAACAACAACAACAACGACAACGACAACGACAACGACGACAAAGATTCAATTAGCCTGATTGAATGGATGATGAAAACGTACGTAACATACACACACACACACTCGACAAATTCGACAAACTTGATACACACAAGTTTCACGGATAGAATATTGATTACCACCTAACAATTGATAATCTAGTAGTGTGAACAAGAACAACAACAACAACAACAACAACACTGAAAAAAATATAAAATTCAATCATTCACAAATTGAATTTATTTTTTTTTCAGTGTTTTTTTCCCGTTTCATATCGTTGACAAAAAATGTTGATCAGTGATTGAAAAAAAAGAAACATTTGGTCATCTCATCACGTTCGTTTTGTTTTTGAGCATTTTCAAGAAAAAAAATTTTTCTCCAGTGCCAAATATTTTTTTTTTGGCACATTTTAATGGCCGGAATAATCGAATTCAAATGAAATGAAATGATAATGATCATTATCATCGTCAAAATGGTGAATGATGACTGATCAATCAACATTCATATCAATTTAAATTTGAATGGTGACCATTATATAATGGGTAAATGAAATGAATGAATGAATGAATGAATGAAATTCATCTTGAATCAAATCTAAACATTTTTAAAATTATCCATTTCTATATATTCATCATCATCATCATCAACAACAACAAGAAGAAAATTTTTGCTTGCATAAAATATTCATTTCAATCGATTGATGATGATGATGATGATGATTGTCGATTTCGATTTGTCGAATTTTTTTTTTTTTGATTTAAAATCAAATCCATATAGTGATGATGATGATGATGATGATGATGATAATCATGACAATCGGACATTGGCCATCAATGAATAATCATCATCATCATCGATGATGATCATCAACGATCAATTGTGTGTATGTGTGTGTGTGTTCAAAATAAAACGATTTTTTCGTTTGTTGTTGGTCGGTTGGTTGATAATCATCATCGATGATCATCATCTAACCATCATCACCGGCACCACCACCACCACCACCACGAAGAACGAATAAACAGAAAGAGAGAATCCAAAAATATCTATTCAGACTATCCAACCATCCATCCATCCATCCACAACACACACACACACACATAATCAAACTCATTAATGTTCGGGCGGCGACCTGTTTTTTTTTTTTTCATTTGATTCAACAATAAAAAAAAATTGCAAAGAAAAGAAAAGAAAAATTTTTTTCCATTCAAATGATGATTATGATTTTTATTTTTTTTTCTTCTTCATCATAAATGAAGTATATTACAATTATATTTAAAGTGAGAATGTAGAATCACAGAATTTCCGATTAACCATTTTTTTCCTATTACTACTGCTCTTTGATTGGCCATTTTTTTTTGGGGAGGGTAAGAATAAGTGAAACGTGTTTTCTTCATCACAATATTCATCATTCTACTAATGATGATGATGATGATTATGACGATAATAGCTGGTTTTAGGTTGAAATTTGTCCAAAAAAAATGATAATTTTTTTTGCTGCTGCTGCTGCCCAACCACTACGACAACTATGGATAGATGTTTTTTGATTCTGTAGAATCATCATTATCGATATATATATACTGACTAATCCCGATCGATATAATAATGAACACCGTGTGGTGGTACCGTGGCATCACGCCATTCAATTCTCATGAATAACAAATAACAAACAAACAGACAAACATAGACGTTTAATAGCGAAGGTCAAATGTCATAATATTTGTATGAAGTGTGCAAATGAAATGAAATGAATGAATGATAGATTTTTTTGATTTATTCTTCTGTTTGTGTTTTGTTTTATTTTTTTGTTTTGTTTCATAATCAATATTTTTTCTCGTTCATTTTTTTTTTTTCACTCAATTTATAGTGTGTGTTAATTGTGTAATTAATTAGACTCTCATTCTCTCTCTCTCTCTCTCACATTGCAGTTCTTAATTATGGTCACGATTTTAGAGCGGCGGAAAAAAATGTGTTGTTGTAAAGGTCCATAGGTGCATCAAACAAAAAAAATCAAATGAACAAAAAGGCTTGCCCATTAAATTGTTTCAAGGTAACGAAATTGAGAAAAAAAGACGAAAGCAAGCAAGCAAGCAACCACTCCTTTGTTGCCTAGGTATGGCGCGAAATGAATTCATTTTTTTTCGCGCGCCATATTTCTAAATAGCAAAGCGACCAGGATATGAATTTTTTTTTCGTTTTTTTTTGTTTTATATTTGGTCGATTGAATGGATGAATGGATGGAAAAATAAAATTCATCGATTTTGCAGTAAATAGCGAAACGAAAATGGGAGAAAAAAAAATTTTTTTTCCTGGCTATAAATTGCGTTTGTCAACTCATTCATTCATTCATTCATTCGGTAGGAAAACAACAAACAACAACGAAAATGCAGAAAAAATTCAAATTCCACATTCGATTCGATTCGATTCATACGCGTGCCATTCAATGACGATGATGATGATGATGATAATGATGACAACAATCATCATCATCATCATCATCGAAATCATTGAACCAGGTGACGATAGACCGATTCGACAAACTAAAATTCAAGAGAGAAAAATTTATATAGAGAAGAAAAACTCGAACAAA